TCAGTTACTGCATGTTCTGTTTTTAAATCATTGAAAAGGCTTCAAGCCTTTTCTTGCACTTAACTATATCCTAATAAGAATGATATGCGATTCTTTCAATTTACTACATACTCAAATTAAAAACAAACTTAGGAATGGACCTTATTCAGCACCCCCAGAGACTGTCTGCATATTTTTCACTTGTTTATATGTGGTTACTTCCAGTCCGTACTTGTAGTTCTGGGTAAAACTCACCTAACACCTTCTGTACCTAAGCTTCAAAGGAAAGGGATGTTAGGGATTAGATATAAAGAGGAAGTTATGACAGCTCTCTCTGTACTTCTGATATAATTATTAAATATCCTTGCTCAGTCTTAATTTATTATGTCTTTCAATTACTTTTTAGGTAGTTTGAATTATAGGCAAATGCCTGTGGGTTTCAATTTCTGTAAGCAAGCCAAAGTTTCATCATTCTTTCTCTAAGGAGCATTCTGGGCACCACTAACTTAGACACTATTGTATGAGTATATACATTTACTCAGTCTTTCAGTAGAAAATTCAACGATGTCTACATTTTATAAATTAAATATATTTTTAAAATTATAGTTTTGTAAACATTTGAATTTGTATATAGTGATGTTAATGATCCACTGTCTGGAATTGAAAATCATAAACTGAAATTAACTAAACATCTACAAATAAGGGATTGAGTAATCATAACAGTAGTTCATGCTGTACAAATAATAAAATGACTAAGTTTTACACCTATATGGACAAATGTAGAAACAAATCATAAAACATTATCAAGTATAGTAATATGATGCAATTGTATATGCATATACAAATAATTTTTGGAAAGATACACACTAAACCATTGATAATGCTTAAAACATTAGGGGCCAAATTATGGAAAACTTTTGATTTATATTTGTTATGCTTTTGTATTACTGTATTTCAAAGTTGGACAATAATAATTTGTACTCAGAAAATTTTAAATATGTATTTCTCTTTACTGCAAAAGTATGTGAAAAAAAAGAATGATTTGATATTTAATTCCCTAAAAATGTCTACAAAGGCAAGAAAAAACATGGTTTACTCAATGTCATGAGGTGGTTCAGAAAACCTAATTTGGTTAGTAAAATGAAAGTCCACTCATGTAAGATAAGAGTTATAAGGAAGATATCACTCTGCAAATTCCAAATGGATATAATATTCAAGGTTTATTGTATATGTTTAAAAGTAAGTTTTCATGAAAGTACTTTACATGTAAAAGTGGCTTTGGAGTTCTGCCCTTCAGTTTAACAGTAATACTAGGTCTTAAGAGTTTCTGACAGATAAAATAAAGGTAATCTTGAATTCTGAAACCTATCATAAATCATCTGGTGAGACTTCATCTCATGAACTTCACACACACCATCAGGAGGGAACAACCAGTACTTGGAAAAGGACATCATGCTGATACAGTAGAGCATCAGTGAAAACGAGAAAGACCCTAAATGAAATGGATTGACACAGTGGCCGCAACAATGAGCTCAAATTTAGTAGCAAATGTGAGGAAGGTGCAGGACCAGGCTTTGCTTCATTCTGTTGTACACAGGCTCACTATGAGTCAGAATAGACTTGACAGCACCTCACAACAACAATATGGAAGCTATCCAGCTTGTATTAGTGATGAGATCAAGAAAGAATGAATTTGAGTATCAATTCCCTTGGAAAATGAACAGAAGTCAGGTCAGTATCTTTTTATTTTATTTTAAATTTCTGTGAATGATTATAATTGGACAAAAAGAATAGCATTGTACAGTAAGCCTTCATATTTTCTTTCATTCTAGATATCAAAGTCTGGATTTTAAATAGGTGAGTGCCTATGTTTATCTAGAATAAATTTGTTATTGGAAAACAAACAAGATGATCTCACAGACTACAAAAAGAAGTCAATTTCTTCACTTTTGAAAATTAAACTAATAACAATTAAGGCTTGAAAACAGTCTTTAATCCAAAAGATCCTTATCAAGCAATCATTACTTTAATTCTGTTGTGATTGGTGCTGTTAACCCAATAATAAATAGTCTTGGTAATGCTCAGGGTTAAGATAGCTTTAGGAAAAATAATCCAATATCAGGTGCAATTTATGTTCTGAAAAGTAATGACCATATAAAGACTCTCCAACTGATAGTGTATTATCTTTTAAAAAATATGATACAACACTTTAGTGATGACTTTTAAATTTTAATCTACTCTCAAGATATTTTGTTTCCAGTGTTAGGAGACTAAACAGTTGAAATCTGGACTTTTGTTTAATGATTGATTTGTATAGGCAGTGATAGAACTTACAACAAAGGGACTGACTTAGGGTCAGCTATGTACAAGCACTCACTGAGTAGGGGTAAGTATCTGGTAACTGGTAGTTCAGGTTCTACACCAGTTCCCTGGATCCCCTCTGGTTCAGAATTCACAGTCAGTCTGATACCTTGGGTAAATGGTAGCAAGATTTGCTCCGATTGCATCTGTGCTGACTGTCTGCTTGCCCTCAAATCTATAATGTGCTTTCCCTGACTTCTGCCAAACATTACGGCTTCTGAATGAGTTTAGTCAGTGACAGACACTGGTATAAGATTCCATGGCAGAAAGACGATAAAAGCTAGGGTGCGTCTCTGCTGCCACCTTGGTGCTCTTCCATAGTTTCAGCTCCCACTGGAAAGTTCCATTATGGTTCTAGCTTTTATCTAGTGTTATAGGTTCCTGGTTTCTGATAACACAGGGTCCTCCCATTGTATCTCTAACCTATGATTGTAGCTACAGGTGTATCAGACCAATTTGTTCTCATGTGAAACATCCTAATTTTGTTCAGGGACCACACTTACTATAAGTGGCATTTTAGAGGAAAGGAAGATAATCTTGCTTCCTATAATCATCAGTCTCTCTGTCCTGAAACAAAGGGCTTGAAGTAGGGTAACACTATGAAGACTTAATAACTACCATTTGTCAAGAAATGTGCCATTTACAAGATAATCCACACATATCATTTGTTACTTACTATGGGCTAATACATTTTTTGAAAGTAGAATTACTATACGTCGTATGATTTCATCATATTCCCACCTACTTTTATAATATGTGGCATTTCTGGATGCTTACTAGGAGAGAGAGTAAAAGAAATGGAAATTTTCTCTGTTTTTTATATCAGGTTGTTTTTGCTTTCTTACCTTTGGTTCTGAACATACTTTGGAAATTAATAGAGTTAAAGGTGGGTACTTGATAACCATCTCAAACTCTAGGCTATGGATTGTTGAGATTCCACAGAACACTCATTGGAAATTTTTGCAAAATATTAGGATTTGGTTACAACATAGCTCTCTGAACGGTTAGAACATTACTCTCATATAAACCATTCTTTCAGCGTGTTCTAGAAAACACAACAGCATTCTTCTTCTTAGGAATTTTCATTTTGATTTATAATGACACATATTTGTAAACTATAATTCCTACAAAAAGTGAGGTAAGTAAATTAAACTATGGGATTCTGAACAATGTTATTTTAAGAACTCATTAGTTTATTTTAACATCATAGTGTTTACAAACATAATCAAAGTCCTATATAAAGCTTTATACTCTATATGACTACAGTTTATGTAATCCAAGAATTCAAGAATATCACCTTCCTGAAACTTCCTCGCTTATATTTTGGCCATGGTATTCTCTACTTAGTTTGTAATTTCCAGATTTTTTTTCTGTAGGACATAAGTTATTTTAAGACATCCGTAAGTTTATTTAGTGTAGTGGCTACCAATCGGGCTGCGAACCTGATTCAAAACTACCAGCTGCTCCACGGAAGAAAGATGAGGCTTTCTGCTCCCATAAAGATTTACAGCCTCAGAAACCCTGTACAGGGTCTCTATGGGTCGGAACTGACTCCACGGCACATAACAACAACAAAGTTTATTTCATATTTTGAAAGCAGGAAGTGGTACAAATATGTATATAATTTAATAATTGGGGTTTTTCTTTATTTTTGTTTCATTTATTTTACAGCCTGTTCATCTGCTACCGGACCACCTTCAGCTTTCAGCATCGCATGATTGCTTTCTCTGACTACCGGATTCCTCAAAGTTCTGTTTACCTCCAATGTTGAAAATCTAGCATCCTCTTCATCTACATTTACTGTGCTGCATCCTACCATTTGTCCAAGTTACTACAGTTTTCTGACATTTTACTGCTTACCTGAAGTATCAGCTTATTAATGTCAAGTCATTTCGCAGTGTTACTGAAGATACAAGCTTCTTCACTGAAAGGAACTCACAAAGGAACTAAAAACTACCATGAGCCTGAAACAATTTCTGTGCTTTTCTTTCAGGGAGTGAATTTCTTTCATTACCCTTGTTGCATTTTTTCCCTTATCTTTGGAAGTGGTCGGTTCAGCTGACAGAGCAAATGATTTTTATTTTTATGACTTTAGCAAAAAAAAATGATTACTAAGTCAAAAAATGTTTTCTGAGCTCTTCTCATGATGCTTAAAGTTGGAACATGAATTCTTGCAGTCTACATTGTAATTATAATATAGCATTCAGAATAATTTTAGTCAAAAAAAGAAACTCTTCATTATTTGTGAATAAGGACTTGCGAATAAGGACTGTTTTCCCAAAGTTAAATTGTTCACGAACAAATGATATATTAACGTTGATAGTTTTTGTGTGTGTGTGTGTGTGTGTGTGTTTTTTGTAATGACTGTAAATGTAAAGAAGCTAAATTGCTGTATGGTGGTTGTTTTTATTGTATACAACTAATTTATTATATTAAAAGTAATCATAAAACTTCTTTTTTATATTAATTTTTTATTGGAAAAGGACTGGGAAGTTGGTTAAGTATTTTCTTAGAATTTAAAACATGAACTCTATGAAGTACTACTCTGACACTTTAAGATTACATAGACATGTCATAAAATCAATCTGTGAATGATATACAGCATGAAAACCATGGATTCACATCATATGTGGTTTACCATGTTCTCTTGATGTTCTTAGAATTTCATGGCCCCTCATGGTGTCTGACCCCAGCAGAGAGAGGGTTGTGTCAAGCCAATGTGAACAGATTCTACTATAATTCAAACATTGGGAAATGCCGCCCATTTCTGTACAGTGGATGTGGAGGAAATGAAAACAATTTTACTTCTAAGAAAGCATGTCTTAAAACATGTAAAAAAGGTAAAAAAAAATATATTATTTTCATTAACTCACTAGTTTTAAAATTAGTTTATTGAAATTGTAAATTAACTTTATTAAAATATCATGAAAATAGTTATTTTTATTAAAAGAAACAAAGTATTGTGATTCAGCTAGTAAATGTTTCCTTTACTATTACATTATGATAATGTTGCTGGGTATATATTAGTTGCAATTCCTCCTAATGTGTCTTCTTAGAAAAGACTCATTCTTTCAAAAACAAAATATTTTACTCCTTTAATATTTGAATAGTATTTTTAAAACATTCATTTTAAAGGAATGTTGTTGTTGTTGTTAAGTTCTATCGAGTCAATTCCAACCCATAGCGACCCTGTATAGGGTTTCAAAGGAACAGCTGGTGAGCTCGAACCACCGACCTTGCAGTTCAAACAGCTTTGCAGTCTGACACATTAACCCACAGCGCCACACCAGGACTCCTTGAAAGGATTATGCCAACATATTTTAAGCTTTCTCATAAGACACAAAAATTAGCATATTTACTATTTTTTTCTGAATTTAGGATTGTATTTTTATAGACTAGAGTCTAAAAATGTAAATTAAAATAAGCTATAGCACCACTGTGAATAGTCATACTTTCTACTTTTAAAATAAAATAAGTATGAATTTCTAATGGAAGATAAATCAATAAGCAATGTGAATAGCATGCTATATGTATAGAGCCATAAACAAGATCTATTATTTTATACATTTGTAAATTTACACAGTAGTTTCATTTTTTAAAAATTATAATGTTATGGGGAGAGGGAAGAGAGAAAATTATTCACAGGCTAGAGGGCAGACACATGTTAACATGGGTGACAGGGTAGGCAATATACAACAAGAGGGAGGTTAACAGAGGAAAGATGAAGGCAGTGGGAGACACATGGAGGAACGCAAAAGTTAAATTGAATAGAGGTAAATACTTTTAACTGCTAGTACATGGAATAGATTGCAACCATTGTAATGAAGCAAAGTGTATGATTTGTTAAATGTGAAACTGATGATCTACTCTGTAAATCTTCACTCAATTCACAATGAAAAGTTGAAGAACTAAAAATAAAAATCAGAGCATGCTTATCAAATTTTTGCTAATATGTATATAAGCAAAGTGACTTAATTAGAAATAGGTTTTTCTGCATAAAGTATGGACAAATTAAAAATGTCTCAGTCAACCAAAATCTTTTGATTTGCAACACTGAAAGATAATTTCAGAAATTTATATTAAAATGTATTATTTTGTTACTTTATCATGATTTTTTGTTCTTCTTATAGGCTTTATCCAAAGAATATCAAAAGGAGGATTAATTAAAACCAAAAGGAAAAAAAAGAAGCAAACAGTGAAGATAGTATATGAAGAAATTTTTGTTAAAAATATATAAATGTGTTACATTATTAGATTACCTCTACTAAATATTTTGAATGAAGTCTATCACTATGATTTCTATTTTTTCTTTCCTAAAATCCTTTCAATGAATATGTTCAGGAAGTAATTTTCTTTGCAAATAATACCTGCAATCAACACGTTTATTTTAGAATTCCCTTTTCTAATCTAGTCAAACTGCTTAATATATTAACTCCTGTTAATAAACTGGCTAAGTCACTCGACTGCTAATCTAATGGAAGATCTTCAGTTGGAACCCACCAAACATTCCATTGGAAAAAGATATGCCAGCCTACTTCCATAAGGTTTACAACCTTGAGAACCTCCTGAGCCATTCTACTCTAGCCTATAGGGACATTACAAATCATAATTGATTCAATAGTAATGGGCGGAATTTTGGAATTATTAACTAGCAACTTACAATTGTCTTCTCCTTCTCCAGTTCTAGCAACTTGTCATTTAGCTGCAAGTTATTATACTATTCCCCACATCAAATTGGTCTATTTTCCCATTCTGTAATCATCTATTTTAGATTATGTTTTCACTTAGTTGTTTTTATCATATTTATATATCTTCTCTGATTTGATTTTGTGACAATAATTTCAGATAAAGACATACAGCTGTCACATTAAAAAAAAAAACCTTTTTGTCTTTAAAACTAAAATATGGCAAGCATCTGCTTCTAACAAAGGTCACCCAATTGTACTTTAGAGTGCAGTTGTAATAATAGAAGTCTATCATATACTTCCCTCTCTCATTGTACATTATCCCTTTTGTACTAATTCAGAGCCCCATCAATCTTGAACCAAGTGGTATCTGAACAAAGAACAGTAGCTTCTGTGTCATGTGCCTGCCTGAATTTGATTGATTTAACTTTTCTTTAACTATATTGTTGTTAAGTGCCATCCAGTCGGTTCCAACTCAACAACTCTGTATAGGGTTTCAAAGTAGCAGCTGGTGGGTTTGAACTCATGACCTTGTGGTTCACCATCCAGTGCTTATCCTATAGTGCTTCAACAGGAGTCATCATATAAATTAAATTCACTATACCCTGGACAGGGTCGCTATGAGTCGGAACCGACTCCACGGCACATAACAACAACAACAACAACATACAAATCAACATGATTACTTACACACTACGATAATACCAAAATTGGAAATCTGTATAAAAAGGAAGTTTTTAATGACAAAGGGAAATTCTGTTTATGCACATTCTAATTTTATTATTTGACAAAATTTTCTCTTTTGCAATATAGAAAAAATTACCCATTGTAACCTATTTATCATCAGGCTTTGCACACAATACAACCAGTGATTCATGCTTTAAAGTAATGAAAACAATAGCAAAGCTATGTTATATCTGTAGAAGAAAAACTTTTTAGTAGAATGGAAGATTCTACTAGAAAATCCATACACTATTCAGTTCTGAGTCACAGATATCATTTCCCTGGAGTTATCAATATCTTTCTCTGAGGGTCCACCTATAGTCTGGCATCTCACCATCCTTTTAAATATTTTAATTTCTATAGCAGTCACTTCAAAATTTTCAATTAAATATGAACTTGTCATCTACAAACAACTAGCTAAAGCATCCATTTGATTGACCTTCATAACTTCTAATATTGCAATGCTACTGTTTTCCCAAACTTGAATGTTTGAGTTCAATTTTGATTTCTTATTTTTCCAAATCACCTCTAATCAGTTTGTAAACTATACTGATTCCTGTACTATTCAGTTCATTCAACTCCCAGGGATTTTTGCCCCAAAATGCATCTTCACAGTAGTATTACATTAATTTTGTAGAATGAATTCAGTATCTCTCTTACTCTTCAAAATAGTTATTACTCAAACTATCCTCATCTTTGCAATTTAATATGTCTATTTCTAGACTTATCCTAAACACTGCCTTTCATGAATACTTCAATTTAGTTAAAATAATTTATTCACTGTTCACTAGATAAGTCTATAATTTCTCAGATTATTTTATGCTGATGTCCTATTTATATATCTGCTCCCCTCTAGATCACTTATCTGAATTTAGATTACAACTATCAGCTAAAAAAGTTTCAATATACAATATGAAAAGCCCAAACATGAACTTACAATTTTCCTACTATGGTACAAAATTAAATTCAAAACAGTATCTATTTGTCAGTTTAAAGATAATGTTACACTTTGATTTTAAATATCTAGTACATAAATAACTGCCCTAACCTGGATCTTTCTGTGAAACCTGTGACTTGACAATCAAAGGCCTTTATGAATTATTCTGTTGTCTTTTACTCATTGAAAGCAATATCATTAAATAAGAGAAAAAAATTGTCTCCTTAGAGCAGTTGGCAAGTTGCCACCAACAACTTGAGTTGAATTGACTAACATAGTCATCCAACCACAGTCATCCACTGGTTCGTTACCTACTGAAGACAGATAGACACTGGAACGGGTGCAATGTTTCACACATATGAATATTATTTGTACTGTACTTTTAAGTAAGAAGCCTTCTGGTAGTATCATCTTGCTTTATTTTACATAATCAAATGCATCATACTGAATTTTATGTAAAATTACATTAAAGCATATTTATGTATTTACTTGTTCTTTCTCCATATTCAAAATTAACATGTTATTCTGAAAACTGCTCAAATGATATTATTTTTTACATTGTAATAAAATGCTCGAGTAGCTCTGGTAGCTTAGTGGTTGTGAGTCAGGCTGTGATTCTCAAGGTCAGCTGTCCGAAACTACCGGAGGGGCTGTGAATAAAAGGTGAACCTTTCTGCTCCCTCACACTTTAAGGAATTTTGATAGCGTAGTGGTTATGGATTGGTATACTAACCTCAGGGTCAGTAGTTTGAAACTACCAGCTGTTCCGCTGGAGAAAGATGAGACTTTTTGATCCAGTGAAGATCTACAGCCTCGGAAACCCTGTACAGGGTCACTATAAGTCAGAACCGACTACACGGCACATAACCACCACCACCACCACCACTAATAAAATGCTCAGTAATAAAAATTGACTTTAGTCTTATATAGTTACTTGTTTTTAAGTAATTAATGCTGTCAATTTATATTAAACAAAATCTTAACACACACAAAAATAGGATTATACCAGTTACAATCAACTTAAATTGGAATTTTTAATGCTCATCTTCAAATTACAGTGTTCATTCTATAATTATAATTTTGTATTGCTCTAATTAACAGACTCTCTCTTACAGGCCATCTATTCTATTTTGCTCCAAGATATGCTTTTCCACAAATTAACTCATATTAAAAACAAAAACAATTAGTTGTTGTACTGTAGTTTTACATTGTGGGTTAAACTAGCTAAAGGATACAAATAATCTCACTGTATTATGTTGTGTAAAGGTATATGAATCTACAATTATCTCAAAATTAAATTTTTAATTAAAAAAATAAAACAAGTGCAGTTTCTTTCAAGTCAATTCCAATTCATGCCAACACGATTTGCATCACAATAGAATTGCATTCTGCAAGGCTTTCAATTCCTGATTTTTCAGTGGTAGATCACCAGACCTTCTGGACCCTTCTGGTTGGTTTTGAACCACCAATCTTTCAGTTAGTAGTCAAGTATATTAAATGTTTGCTCTACATAAGGGTTATTTGATATAAATCACTTAACTACATATTATATAAATGTTTCCAAACCAGACTACTGATATCTACCTAATCCATCTTCCTACCAGAAGGAAAAAAATGACAAACTAGCCAAGGGACTTCTTGCTTCTGCTTGTATCTATTTTTTATAAACTAGCATTGTACTTCCAAGACTTATATGTCAGTCTGTCATACTGTGGTGGCTTATGAGTTGCTGTAGCTCTGGAAGCTATGCCACGGGTATTTTAAATACCCATAGAGTCACCTATGGTGGACAGGTTTCAGATGAGCTTCCAGATGAAGGCAGACTAGGAAGAAGGAGAGATGAACTACTTCCAAATATTTAGTCACTGAAAACCTTATGAATAGCAGAGAACCACTGTCAGATACAGTGCTGGAAAATGAGCACCTCAGGTTGGAAGGCACTCAAAATGCAACTGGGGAAGAGATGCCTCCTCAAAGTAGAATTGACTGTGAGGATGTGAATGGAGTAAAGCCCATAGAAGTAAAGCCCTTAGGACCTTCATTTGCTGATAGGGCACAACTCTAAATGAAGAGAAACACCTGTAAACATCCATTTATAATCAGAACATGGAATGTATGTATGAAGCATAAATCTAAGAAAATTGAAAATTGTCAAAAATGAAATGGAACACATAAACATCCATATCTTAGGCATTAGTTAGCTGAACTGGACTGGTATTGGCCATTTTGAATCTGACAACCACACAGTTTATTTTGCCGGGAATGACAAATTGAAGAGGAATGCTGTTGTATTCATTGTCAAAAAGAACATATCCAGATCAGTCATGAGGTACAAGACTGTCTGTGATAGGATAATATCCATGCACCTACAGGGAAGACCATTTAATAGCACTATTATTCAAATTTATGCACCAACCACTAAAGCCAGTGACGATGAAAGAGAAGAATGCTACAAACTTCTTCAATCTGAAATTGATCAAACATACAATCAAGATGTATTGGTCAGACCATGTTGGTCACCGATGAGGGGAAGAAGGGGAAAAACAGCAATGAAGTTGGGAGCTAAGTCTGACCACATTCAATAGACCCCTGTGAACCCAGGTGGAGACCTGGATGGCCAGCAGTATGGCAAGACCCAGGGACTTCTGGGCCCAGAGGCAGTGACATGGCCACAGAGGACTAGAGAGGTGAGTGAAACATCCAGCTGATATGAAATGAGGGGAGATATCTCGCACAAGGACACCCATACTTTCAGATAGTAACCACTTGACCTCGCTTCAATGGCTGAATGATCAGAACTTGACTAGAAGAAGAAAGAGGAAATAAGCAAAGAGTAACCCACTAGAATTTGATGAACTTTATCTATACTTATGGATGTAGTAGCTCAAAAAC